GACAAGTAAAATTAGCTACACATTGAAATTGTTCCGCTGTCAAAGTAACCACATTTAATTGATACAAACTCTTGTCAACTCAAAATGATAAGTTTTAAGTCAAAAAGTTATTACACTAAACAGGCAAGTCAATAATGTCTCGAGTAACTATTCATGGAAAATGACCTAACTATTCGACCACAAGGAGTCCTTTCAACATCAAGTTCAGCAGCTTGGCTTATCTTTTATGAATCAACCATGTACCATCATTTAGTTCTTTCACAACAATAATCCTTGTCCTAACACATGTTAAGCATATACTTTCACACAAAAGCAAGCTAGTCATAATTTTGACAAATCTTATACTTGGGGAAATTCTAGTTCAAACTTGTTAGTTTAAGCACCATATAATAAGGCTTTTGACTGACTCACCACCTACCATTGACCAATACAATTATGTTGGATTCTTTCTGGATCAGCAACAAAGTATCTCTTATTTCACTTGCTGTTGGTTGCCATATAATGCAGAAGCCCCATAGGATACTGCATACATGCTTGGGCAGTAGCCCTCAATATATATGCCATTCCACTTTCTGCCATGCAACAGCATCAATAGATCAGATGGATTGGTCTGTCACCACCCCCATTTTGGATGAAGGATAAAACCTTCCAGGTTTTTGCTACACCAACTTACTAATCAGGCAAAAGCACAATCTCATGGGCAGCAACAGCATCAATAGATCAGATGGATTGGTCTGTCACCACCCCTAATTTGGATGCAGGATAAAACCTTCCAGGTTTTTGCTACACCAACTTACTAATCAGGCAAAAGCACAATCTCATGGGCAGCAACAGCATCAATAGATCAGATGGATTGGTCTGTCACCACCCCCAATTTGGATGCAGGATAAAACCTTCCAGGTTTTTGCTACACCAACTTACTAATAGGCAAAAGCACAATCTCATGGGCAGCAACAGCATCAATAGATCAGATGAATTGGTCTGTCACCACCCCCAATTTGGATGCAGGATAAAACCTTCCAGGTTTTTGCTACACCAACTTACTATCGGGCAAAAGCACAATCTCATGGATATGATCAAAGACATTTATCTCTTTAACATGATCAAACATGTGCAAACCAAAGAAGAGCAATCAAAAAGTCTTCCATTTCAATAAGGCTAAAATTTTTACTATGATCTGAAATGAAATTTGGATTGTTTTAAAGACATTGAACTGGTCTGTGAAGATTTCAGCAGCAAAGCAGAGCCCTAACTTGATCTCAGACAATCTCCTAGATTTTGAAGAAAATGAAACAAGAAACATTCTTCTGCAAGACTAATTCCTCTTGCAGAAAAGAGAAACAAATGCTCTAGATTAGAAGTTTGAGACTCAATACCTACTTATTTGCAGGATCGGCAGATGCACTATTTGCTTGAAAAAAATTGTACCATAATTGTACATAAGTTGGAAGAAAACAAACTAATAGCATAAGTTTGAGACTCAATACCTACAGTCAAAAAGCTTGAGACCACTATAATTCCCAACTGGAAAGATAACGGAGACAATCGCATGCTCAAATTTCGGAAACTTGTTTAGTTTCATTTTTAATTTCTGATAGATCTTCTAACACCTATCAACATCGGGTACAGATTATGAACAAAGAGATACTTATTTTTAGCTTTTTCTCCGTGCAGTAAGTTTTGAACATATTGATACTCCAAATAACTCCTACAAGACAATTCGAAGCATTTGGGAGATTTTAATTCATCACATCACATCACATCACATCACATCAATCAAAGAGAGTCGAGTAAGTTTCTTAATTGAAGAGGGGAGAACGATGGGAGCAGGAGTAAAAGCACAAGTCCTGACCTAATCGGCGTGGCCGAAGCAGCTACGTAGGTAGTTCTCCTCCATCCAGTATTGGAGGTCCTCCACCCAGATCGTCTGCTTCTTGTCCTCCGCCGCGGCATCCCGGCCCTGCTGATGGCGCCTCGATTTCGACGGAGGAGGCAGTTGTGGAGGCGTGGGCACTGGTGTGGAGGAACGAAGGGCCGCTTGCGGTGATCGAATCCAAATGCCGGCCTGGGAAACGCTGTTATCGTCCCACACAAAGGAGTAAATGATTCCTTTGGGTGCGCTCGCCAACTTCTGTTATCTATTTGTTATTATTGTCATTATAATTAGCATACAAATAGGGGGGCAAAAAAAGGATTCCACGCTCGCTCAGGCGCGCGGTGGCAGATTCCATCTTCCTCCACAATGGGCCCCACGTTATTACGCGGGCCCCACAGAACCTCTCATCAGATTCGGACACGTCACCAGAATAACAAACACTTTCTTTTTGGTTCAACATGGCAACGAATCCGACCCCGAATGACTCGGTCCGATCGGACTCCCCAATCCACTTTTCGGGGATGCGGACAAGTGCCACCAGTGATCGAAGCTGCTTTACCGGCTAGATTGGCGGGGACGCGGCGGCGTTGGACGGCGACGGCATGGTCCCGTTGGCGGTGATCCTGAGGCGGCAGATGTCGTGGGAAAGGATCGAGAAGCCGGACGTACTCTACGAGGCGGCGAGAGAGAGGAAGAAGGGGGAGGACTTCACTCTCGTGAAGACCGAATGCCAGCGAGTTCCCGGGCATGGTGACACCACGGTCTCGGTCCCTGCGGTAATAAACCTTCTGACTCACAAAGTTCATATTTTGGATAGTCTCTTTTGTATTTGTAGGATTTGACTGCAGAAGAGGTAACACAATCTCAGTTCTGTACTTAGAGTTTCAGTCTACAGAAGAGGTAGGGATTTTTCGCGGAGGAGATGCCGTTAGATCTTTTTTTGATATATGTTGGCTTGACAGAGTGTTGGTAAAGCTGATCGATTCCCTTAAGGGGTTCAGACAATTGTTGCTTGAACTTTCAATGTGAGAGGTCAAGGGGACTTTGGCTTGTTGGTGTACTTCAACTGTGTAGCCAAGATCAGCTCTTTTTCTTGTATTAGCTACTGTTAGAAACTTGATATGCTTAAATCAATTATATTGATGTTGCTTAATGTATCACTTACTATCAAGAGCTTCTTGTGTTTAGGCTATGGTTGCTTTGGCTTGCAGAATATGTTCACTGGAGTTTTCTTTTTCTTACAGCTTTTTGATGGTCACAACGGGTTTGAGCAGCTGCTATATACTCCAAGGAGAATCTCTTGAACAATGTTTTAAGTGTCGTTCCATCAGATCTTAGCAGGAATGAGTGGATTCAAGCGTTTCCAAGAGCTTTGGTTGTAGGGTTAGTTAAAACTGATAAAAATTTCAAGGAAATAGGTATGAGCGAAATTATGTATTGACTTATTGGAGCTTACATATGGTACAACTGATTAATTATCTTCCACAGAATAACTTCCAGAGTATAACACTTGTGACCTATGTGGAACACCTTAGCTCGGCAGACTAATGCTTACCATGAAGAAACATCTTCTAGATTATAATTTCTCTATGAGGAACTGATGCAGTAATATGAATCATTTTCTCAGCTGGTGTTTCTGCTTCATTAACATCTCTTCTTTAATTTCCATCTTCTGCAGCATCCTTCTTTTCAGCGTTCTAGTTGACAGATATATCCTTGGATATTCTTGCACACAAGTTAATGACTTTTGTCAGAACTGGTTCTGGGAAGACATTGCTGGTGTTTCTGAGCTTGTATCAAATAGTACAGTGTACTAACTACTGACATGGTACAAGTTTAATAGATCAGCATAAACATATTAGATCCGTATAGTATTTGCTGTAGAAATGGAATTATTAACAACATACTATAATATATATATGTGCGATTGTCAGCAGTCAGCAGCATGGAAACAAACTAAGCAATATATCTTATTCTTCATTATTCGCACTTTTCTAGCTTTGTGATGCTTTTTCAAGTCTCTATATTTCGTTTTATTCTTAGAGTTGTTTATCTTTCTGTTATAACAACATATGTTCCAAGACGAGAAGACAGAGCAGTTCTGGATTCTATTTAATATTGTAAGGCACCGATGAGTTTCTTTTTCTTTTTTCTTTATTATTTTCCACCTCCTCTCTTGCTTTCATTTTTTTCAGTGTTTTTATGCATAAATGAGCAAGATGCTATTACTGTTTATTATATAAAGGGCAAAACAAATTTCGTCTGTAAGCTTGTAAACCTATGAAGCATGAATGCTACAAAATGTTTGTCATGTCAATGCTGATACTCATATGTGGAATATTTCAAAAGAATAAAACTTTTGGATACATCTACTTTATTTTAACATTGATGTGTTTTATGCACTCCGAACAATTATATCAAATATAATATCTCAGATCATAATGAACATTGGTAGTTTTTGTGTAATTTGATTTTTCACTTAACATTTTGTGTATTTTTTAATGTTCTCTAGATGTTTGTCATTATTGATTCAAGTTTCATAGATGATGGCCGTGGATTGTCTAGATTATCTAGTCTACCATAGAAATTGTAAAAAAATGTCAGATCATATACTTGTATTATCTGCTGTGTTCCTGATATATGAGTCTTGATTTTATAAAAGAAATTGTCATGTCAGCATGAGAGTGTGATCTTAAGTTTCTTAGGAAATTATCTTGCCTTCATCTAGTCTCTATTTAAATATTTTCCAGGTTGGCCCTCTTTGGTGCTGGCCTGGTGGCTTGTGCCTATCAATCAAAATTGTTAAGGTGTTGAAGAGGGAGAGGAGAAAAATGAAAAACCAAAAGATAAATCCATCAGAGATTAACAATCAAAAGAATATACCAGAAGTCGATGCAAGATTTAACGTGGTTCGATAATTTTCATCTGCATCCAAAACAAAATTCTTCAATATATGAGATCAATTATAAGACCCTTTAATCATCCCCACTCAAACACGAATTCTCTTGCACACCTCTCTCACATAAACCTAAATAATTTTTCTCTCAATCCTTTCTAGAAACCCTAAAGAATACCTTAAGGAGCAACCAAAGTGCCTTGACTTTTCCTCTCACTAAAACCAGAAGACTCGGGGTATATTTATAGGAACAAATACTACGTCACTAAAGAATTTCAATTTAATTAGGATTCTACTAACTAATTTGAATACAATTAAGACTCCTAAAAGTACTAACACAAAGTCTTGTATACAATGGCTCTTATATCACGGTACAATTTGAGTTCAATTTTCAGGAAGCTGTGCACACAGTGGGACTTCAAGATGATACTACATCCATTGTGGTTGACATATTACCATCAGAGAAAATATCACCTTCTTTTCCACCCTTTTAGAGGCCAGGAACAAGTGTATTTAAGAATATGTTCCACTGAGGATCTTCTGAATCATCATTATTTTCAGATAGAGACTATTCTGAAGCAGACATGGTTGAAGAAATATTTATGGGTCCCCAGTCCTTGCTCAAAGGTCAGTGTACTGCAGCAAACCCTGACTTAACAAGATTTAAGCTTGAATTCTATAGTATATACGAAACTGCTAGTTTAGATTTCAGTTCAGTTTGTTTATTGTTTTGCCGCATATCATCTTTTCAGTGTGAGTGTTACTCTTGCATATTTATATTGTTATGTCCATCCAGCAAAAGTGATGGGGTTCCTTGTGAAACACGAGTTTGAAAATTTGCATATATCTTGAAGTCATTCAAAGGTTTTCCTTAGGTATTATTTGATTTCAAGGACTAGTTATGTATTATCAATCTTTAGTATAGCCCAATCAAACCACCTGCTACCCACCTTATGTAAGGTAGATTATGGCCTAAGTAAAAAGGTCATTATAGTTGAACTCAAATATTTGGGAATATGTGTTTATTGCTCATGCTGATCTCAAGAGAAATAAACAAGATACTGGAATACAGAATGTCTTGTGGTGTTTTCCATGATATCCACTATGGATTGGCATAATCAAGTTGCAGCCTATCATGTGGCTTAGAGTAGGAAGGGAGAAGCTGGAGGGGCACAGGAATTCATAGGTCCTGCAAATGCAATGAGAGGAGCTTTTGTGAATAAACATAGACCTTCCTGCTGTTTAATTAATGTCACAAGGATTACTTAGCATCAAATGAAGACCTTCCTGCTGTAGAAACTCCTGCTAGGTTATATATATACATATAGATCAAGACAAAGAGGAGCTTTTTGTGAAAATTTGTGCTTGTTTATGCAAGTTGATGTGATCTGCAACAGTAAAAAGGTCAAGTTATCAACAAGTAATGTGCAATGGCAGGTTAGATCTAGAATATCCAGTGTGTACCATGTTTAAGATGCTCAATTGTGCTGCTATTTTCCAGTTGGAGATGAAAGCAAGGGAAGGCGTTTCTGCGCATGATGGTTCATCAAGACCTGGAAAAGTGCATCCCCGGAATGGTCTTTTCCTTTGCTCGATTTGTCAAACCAAGAAGGAAGCCATGGAAAGAAGACGTCCATAGGGAGGTATAACCCTTACTATGATTCTTCTGGAGTTCTTTTTACCATATAAATCACTTGATATGTTGTAATATTTTCCCCTCTTTATCCAGATTGTGCCTACACAGATAACTGAATAATCGCTGCAACTGTTGGTATTAATGGATCCTACTTCTGGCACAACCTCATCGGCAGTTCAACAGCTTATCAAGTCAGCTCTCTATGCCTTGGCAGCATGCAAAAGAGCCAGTTCCTCTGCAGATTGCGGTAACTGAGAACATTTTGCTCCCTTTACTCTGAGGCCTTAGTAGATTTGAGATAACAGTGTGTTACTTTGTCATCTTGTGTTCCATAAATTCGCAAGAATAGATCGGATTAGCAATTCTTTCCTGGTTATCTGCCATGTACAAGAACCGATACAGAGGTGTTAAAACGGTCAGTCTGTACTTTGCACCTTTATTGCTTGCTTAAGCAAGCCTTGTTTTCTTAATTCGCTAAACATCGTGGTTATTATATCTCTTTGTTGCTGGTCAGTTGAGAGTGCAAAATTAACAAACAGGTATTGCCTTGCTTACAAGTCCCTCATTTCTCATGTGGATGTTTTTTTTTTCATCTTTTTGTTTTATGGCTCCAAAAATATTGATCTGTCAATAACAAACATTTCTGCAGGATATCCAATCTGTTAATGGCAAATTCGATCATCAGCCCGACCCGATGTGCTGAAGCTAACCTGACCTGCTTTTGCAAGAGGCATTTAACCGGATTTGGAATCCCAAATTTTATGTGCAAGAAGGTATTTTTATTGAGATGCCTCTGGAACTCAAGTTAAATATGAGAGAGATTATATTATGCATGAAGAAGTCTTAATTCTAGTTCAGTAGCTCTTTATGTGGGATGTTGATATACTGACATGGGCTGATTAGGATCTACATATTAGATTTCGATTGACTAATTAACATTTACCATACCACAACCTTGAAGCTTGTTTTATTATAATTTGGATAAATGTCAGTATATTGGAGATAGTTCTTAGTTCTGTTCCTATATGTTGGATCTAACTTGGAAGAGCCATCCATGAGAAGAAGTGACATAACTTGGGAGTTGGGAAGCCGTTGTCTTGGTTGGATGGATGGCCTTATCGCATTTAAGGATCACAATGTTACACCCTCATGATTTGGACATGCATCTTCCCATGCTTCTTAAAGCCTAGGCAAGATGTTGAAGTCTATTTATCATGGAAATGTAGTTGAGATTTATTTTGTTTATTTGGCCAAATACTAATTTGGAATTATATACGCTGTAAAAGCCAATCTTCGCACGAAAACTAAGTGATGGAAGAACAAACATCTCACCCTCCATCGGGAGTACAACTTACATCCATCGGTCGTATACTTCACAGGAATAGATTGTTCCTCTGCAGCACACCAAACTATGATTCCATAGTGCGATAAATGACTCTAAATAATTCTCAAGACGGCAGATGAGATGAGATGAGATGAGAAACCACGTCGACGTCCTTCACCTCCCATGGTGTCTACATTCATGCACACGAAGAATCAATTATGTCACATCGCCACAGGGACAACATCGATGGGTGACCATCTCAATCTGTACTCCTGCATTTAGTAGTTGCTGTTGAGTCCTGCCGCCGTGAGAGCTACACAATCTATGTCACTTACGACATAAATTGAAGTCGATAATAATATACCCATCAAACTCAAGATATCTTCATTAAGATTTAACATAATTATGATCGAATTCTAATGTAATATATATATATGAGATGCAGTCTAGTAATAGCTCTAAGAGCTATCTCCATCCATAGATAATTATTTTTAATTTAAAATTTTTTATTATGTCTAAATATTAGATCAGTTCTGATACCAAATATTATAACCTGACTTAATATAATATTTGATCTAAAATACTTAAGGTAAAATTAATATTAGTATACTCATCGTATCCTTAATAATTTATTATAGTCTTACTTATTTTTTTATGAGAGAATAATTGAGAAATGATTGTGTCAGTTATTAATCTATCTATACTTTGCAATAGTATCAACATTATTAATCTATCTATATATATGGATATCTATATATACATTTAGAAATGATTTTATCTATATATAAAATTAAAATTTTATATATGAAGTGAATATGGAAAGAGAAATAAGTAATCCTCTCACTTAGAAAATTTGAGCCACATATATTCAATGACTAATAAATAGCCTTGATTTGGCTCATAACTTGCAACTTAGTATATTCAAACCTCATCGATTTCACTCAAACTCAATAAAGTAATTTAAATTGATCGTGGTAACCTTAACGAGATAATAGATCAAATCGATCGAGCCACATTATTCCCAAGATTAAATAACAGTCTCCCACATACACATTACATGTATAAGATTTTGGATTCCACTGACCACATGTTATCTCATATATATTAAATCATCTATTTAGCTTCAGTGGTTTCTGATATCTAAAGAGCAGATTGATTCTGTGCCACCTTCTTCTTTAGGGTTGTCTCTCCAAAGAAGCATAGGCTCACATGGATGAGGTGCTCGGCCATGTTCCATGTCTTTATTGCATGGTGGCGCATTCGATGAGGGGGTAAGCGTCGCACATAAGATTAGATCTCCTCTTATCCTCTTTGACCATTCATTCATGTTGTTGGCACCCAACAAAATGGGCTTAGAAGATTCATATCATTATGCCTTGTTCTCATACATAGTCATAAAACTATTGATGATGGTAAGAAAAAAAGAACAGGGAACTTTTTCTAGATTGTATCTTATTTATTATTGTTTCATTAAAAGCTTAAATTTGAAGATGAGAGAATTGATTAGTCCTAAGAATTGCATTCATACAATGTTCTATTGTGGTTTCCTTCAACCCAATAATAATGCTTGTAGTAGCTTTTGCTTGCCAACTAATAAGGCATGAATGATATCATATATAGATCTTTAAATGACATTTGGGGGAAAAGAATGAGATGAGAAAGAAGCTGGAAGACAGTATAAGCACCGGTGTACATGTCGCGATATCATCACTACCCGTGAAAGGCACCCTTGTGGTTATCTTCTTCATGGCTCCCCCGTGACTTCATCTCCCTGCCATCCAAGAAAGAGCCACCGTTTGCTTTGCTCATAAATGTAGTTTAAAGCATCCTATGGAGTCATACGAGATGAGAAGGGTAACTCATCAGAAATCTGGCGACGTGATCTTTCATGCGTTTAGGGTCTCATGTGTTCTTTCGAGAACTGCCATGTCTGGAAGAGGAGAAGCAGTTCACCCTGAGATCATATGGTCTCAAAATCATGACTCGACGGAGAGAGAATCTCTCTCGATGTTAAGATATTCGTAACTTGCTTTGGTTTGTTCATGTTTGGAAGAGGAGAAGCAGTTCACCATTGTGGTTGAGTTCAGAGTAGCAGAACTTATGTTCATGAACGTTCACTCTCCTTCTTCTTCTTCCTTATAACGCCAGAGAATGAGAGTGACGACTGCATGGGAATGCATCTCGGGATCGAATCAAAGCCGTTCATTTCTAAGATTCAAAGATCTGTACCGAATCTTGGTGACGTCTGACGTGCATAGCACCTGCGGGGCCCCATTGCGGTGGGGACGTACGTCCGATGGGTAACTTCCGAAGTGACATATCGATTTAATTATACTATTCCTAAATTGCCCTTATTATTATTCAAAATACCGGAAGACCAAATGGACTCTCATTTCGTTTTGCTCAGGGAGTTGGGGTATTTTAGTCCGAAAGGATATAATTTTCCCTCAAATAATAGGATACGTATGTATATATATAAGGCAGAGTCACCGTCTCTGCCGGTGCTGGAAGAGACCGAGGACTTGTCAGCAGCATCTGCTCCAGATACGATGGCCGACGTCGACCGGAGGGCGCCCTCGGGGCTGATCCCGGCCCCCTACGCCGCCGGGCTCCGCCGCCTCTCCGCCCGCGCCGCCCCCGCCCCTCCCCACGCTCCGGTCTCGCCTCCTTCTCCCCCCTTGCCGACGCCGTCCTCTCCCACCTGCGCGCCGCCGGCGTCCCCCTCCTCCCGGGGCTCTCCCCCGCTGAGCTCGCCCACGCAGAGGCTGAGCTCTCCTTCGCCTTCCCCCCGGACCTGCGCGCCCTTCTCTCCCTCGCCCTCCCCTCCGCCCCCGGCTTTCCCGACTGGCGCCAGCCCCGCCGCCTCATCCCCGCCCTCCGACTCCCCCTCGCCGCTGCCTCCCTCCAGATCAGGCGCCGGGCCGCTGGCGCTGACCCAGCCCGCGCAGCCCTCCGCCGCGCTCCCCTCCTCATCCCCGTCTTCGAGCGCTGCTACCTCCCCGTCCGGCCCCCGCTCGCGGGGAACCCGGTCTTCCTCGTCGACGAGTCCCGCATCTCCTGCTGCGGCGTCGACCTCGCCGACTTCTTTCGCCGGCAGTCGCTGCTACCCTCCTCGTTCCCCGCTCCGCCGCTCCGCCGCCAGCTCTCAGCCGCCGAGAAAACCTTCCTGCCGCCGCCCCCACCGTCCGACTCGAGGCGGAGCCTCGACTCCATCGCCGGAAAAACTCCCCGCTGGATCGAGTTCTGGAGCGACGCCGCCGCCTCCGACCGCCGTCGCCAGAGCGCTTCTTCCGCCTCGGACCCGGAGCTGTTCCTGGAGATTCGAGTCAAAAGGCTCCCCGACTGGGTGAGGAGCTACTTGAACCGGATGGGGACGGTGCTGAAGGATGGCGGGTGGGGGGAGGCAGAGGTGGCGGAGATGGTGGAGGTGACGGCGGCGACCGGGTTCTGCGACGGCAGGGGAGACGCGGCGGCGGTCGACGGTCAGGTAGTTCTGGACGCGCTCCTGCTGAAGGCGGTCCGCTGCTCGGACTCGCTCCGGCGGGCGGGGTGGAGTTCCGAGGAGGTCTCCGATTTGCTGGGGTTCGACCTCCGGCCGGAGCAGCGGCGGAGGCCTCCACTGAAGCTACCACCGGAGATCGCCGTCAAGATTGGGAAGCTGGCCGAGGCGGTGTCCCGATCCTGAACTGTAGTACACGGGCTGTATTATCGTAAAAACTATGTATTCTTTTCTATTATTAACAGAAAAAAAAACACTGCTTCCTTTAGACAATACTTTTCGTATTATAAGCATGACGAATCTTTTTATCTGTATTATAAATCTGGAAATAGAAGAGGAACATCGAAGTATGCGATCACTGATATCTTTTGGCTTTGTTTTTGTTGGATTCATTGGCCCATCTCTCCCTCGGAGACCGCAAGCTTTGGGAACACAGCAGCAACATAAAAGAGAGAAAGGCTCTTTCTGCTGTTTAATATGACAATTGTAATATATATAGTTCCTGTGATATTTTAATATATATATATATATATATATATATATATATAT